CCCCCCCCCCCCCCCCCCGGCAAAAAAGAATATTACATTTAAATTCTGATATTGCTAAACTGCCTTCTAGAAAGATGCACCTATCTGTGTCCCCACCAAGTGTATTAGTGCCCATTTTTCTACACTCCCGCTAATAATAGGTTATAACATTTTGAAATTTGCTAATCTGACAGGTGAAAAATCATACTTCATTTTGATTTGTATTTTTTTATTTGGAAATATAGCTGAACTTTTTTAATGGTTTTGGCCCCTTTTTTTTTGCAAGCAAGTTCATACCCTGTGCCTATTTTCCTATTAAGTTGTCTTTTTCTTATTTATTTCTATTACTTCTCTGTATATTAAACAAATTAGTCATTTGTTATAGTTTCTGATATTTGGCCTTGCTTAGAAAGTCCCTTACTACTCAAAAATTTATAAATTTTATCCATGCAACTTTTATGGTTTCTTTTTTCTTTATTTTTAACAATCCAAAAATTTTATTTTTTTATTTAAAAATTTTTTTTCTTGGTGGCTGGCCAGTATACGCATCTGAACCCTTGACCTTGGTGTCATAACATCATGCTCTAACCAACTAAGCTAACTGGCCAACCCTTTAAATTATTTTTAATTGACAGATAATAACTGTACATATTTATGGGGTAAATGTGATATTTGGGTAATGTATACAATATGTAATGATCAAATCAGGGTAATTAACACATCGATCACTTCAAACATATGTCATTTCTTTTTGCTGGGAACATTCAAAATCCTTTTCTAGCTATTTGAAATTATACAAATAAATTGTTAATAACTGTAGTCGCCTTCCAATGCTATAGAACACTAGAACTTATTCCTCCTACCTAGCTGTAATTTTGTATCCATTGACCAACCTATTCCCAACTCCTCCTTCCCAGCCTCTAGTAACCACTATTCTATGCTCTACTTATATGAGATCAACTTTTTTAGCTTCCACATATGAGTGAGAACATGCAGTATTTATCTTTCTGTGGCTTATTTCACTTAACATAATGTCATCCATGTTGCCACAAATGTCAGGATTTCATTCTTTTTTATGGCTGCAAAGTATTTCATTGAATATATACACCACATTTTCCTTATCTAATCACCTATTGATGGATATTTAGTCCATATCTTGGCTACTGTGAATAGTGCTGTGATAAACATGGACGTACATGTATCCCTCTGACATACTGATTTCCTTTCCTTTTCATATATACCTAGTGGTGACATTGCTGGATCACATGGCAGTTCTATTTCAAGTTTTTTAAGAAACTTCTATACTGTTTTCCATAATGGCTGTACTAATTTACATTCCAACTAGTATGGTTTCTTTTTCTACATATAAATCTTTGATCCATTTGGAATTTATTCTGGATGTGAAGACTGAGATAGAGATTAAGGTTGTGGCTTTTCCCCCTGAATAATTAGCCAATTGTTATAATTCCATTTATTTTATACTTTCTCTTTGCCCTACTGATTTAAAATACCACATTTATCAAAATGAAACTTCCATGCGTATTTGGGTCTATATACAAGGGTATTTCAAAAAGTTCATAGAGGGGCCGGCCGGGTGGCGCACTGCTATAGTGTGCCGCTTGGGAAGTGTGGCGGCGCTCCCGCCGAGGGTTCGGATCCCACATATCCTTGAAACTGATATTAGAAATGAAGAAATTTTAAATACTACTATTATAACAAACTCATGTTACAAATAAAATAAACTATTATAGCTGTCAATAAAATATTTTTCAAAGTCTTCAACATGACTTAAGTTTTCACAAAAATAAAGTCATGATGCTTTTCCTGACAAAATTATTTTAGCATACATAAAATTTTAAACTATTTTCAAAGGCCTGCAAGAATAAAAGAAGATAAAATTTCAAAAAGTTCATAGAGGGCTGGCCCGGTGGCGCACTGGAGAGTGCGCCGCTTGGGAGCACGGCGGCACTCCCACCGAGGGTTCGGATCCCATGTGGTGACCGGTTCCCGCTCACTGGCTGAGCGCGGCGCGGGCGCAACACCGAGGGTTGTGATCCCATTGCCGGTCCCCGGTACGGGTGCAACACCGAGGGTTGCGATCCTGTTACCAGTCAGTAAAAAAAGACAAAAAGGAAAAAAAAAAAAAAAAGAAAATAGAAAAATGGAATTAAAGATAATACGAATCTTTCCATGAACTTCTTGAAGACCCTTCATATGAACTCTATTCTGTTCTATTGTTATATTTTCCCCCCTAGAATCAAACTGCCTTAACTCTTCTAGCTTTTTAACAGGTTTTAATAGCTAGTAGAACTAGGAACCCTTTATTACTTTTATCTTCATTTTCAGATTGTTTTTTTGTGGTTATTCTTATACGTGTATAATTCCAAATGAACTTTGGTGTCATTCTGCTGTAGTTAAAAAACAAAATGAAACAAACAAACAACAAATACCCCTATTTCCATTGGGATGGGATTCAATTTGCATGTTGATTTAAAGGGGAATCTTCCCATCCAATAGCAGAGTAATTCTTTCCTTTACTTTAATCTTTTATGGCCCTTGGTAGAATTTTACACACAAAAGTCCCACACATTTCTTTTTTTTTTTTTTTTCTTTTTGTCTTTTTTCGTTACCGGCAACGGATCGCAACCCTCAGTGTCGTGCCCGCACCGGGCCGGGACCGGCAATGGGATCGCAACCCTCGGTGTTGCTCCTGCACCTCGCTCAGCCAGTGAGCGGCCGGTCTGTATGTGGGATCCGAACCCTCGGCGGGAGCGCCGCCACGCTTCCTAAGCGGCGCACTGTAGCAGTGGCCACCGGGCCGGCCCCAACCCACACATTTCTTATTAAATTTATACATAAGGATTTTATAGTTTCTTCCATTATATTTTCTAACAGGTTAGTGTTTTTATGTAGGAAAACTGCTTGCTTTTACATATTAATTCTGCAATCCATCATCTCGCTGAATTTAATGGTTTCTTTTTTTTCAGTTAATTTTCTTGGGTGTACTAGACATATAATCTTATCCTGCAACATAACAAACATTTTCCCTCTTTCTTTCCAATATTGATATCTTTTCTTTTTATTGTCTAACTGCACGACCAAGAACTTCCAAAACAATGATAAACATTTGTGGTGACCATGGGTATCACTGTCTTGTTTTTTTCTTCAGTGGGAAAGCTTTTAGTGATTTGCCATTATACATGATGCTAGCTGTTAATCCTATATGTATATATATATTTTTGCATGAGATAAATAATGTATCTTTCTATTCATATTTTTTAAAAAGATTTTTAAAACTAGAAATGGTTGCTTAATTTTCTCAATACTAAAAATATTTGCCTTCCTATTTGTACTATTATATTTTTAACACCCCCCATATAAATCTAAGAGTTTACCTAGTTTTATTGGTACACTTTTAATATTTTCTCAAACAATATATTAAATAAAATAAATTACTCCCCTTCCATGAGGAAAGCATAGCTCTAAACCACTATATTATTGCCTATACATGACCATTGGTTATTTCATGATACAGCTAACTAGCTAGGTCTTCCAGAGTAGAAGTATATTTACCTAGAGATGAACATAACTCAACTTCACCAGGAAAAACAGGAGCTATTAGACACTTCAGAATTTTATAATACTGAAAAAACATAAAACAAGACAAATTTCTATAACATGGCATTTATCTTCTCAGAAGATGATTCTCTTTGTTCTGTTAAATACATGTGTAGACATCCTTTTCAGGGATTTCCAAAAAATCCTCCTGTGATAATGAAAAAGTCTCAAGCCCAATATATTACCTGTAATATGTCTCTGTGTCGCTGTAATGTATGCATCAGTGCTGCATTCAAGGAAGGGACACCTGCACTGTTGGTATATTCTGCCATTTTATCATTTACCCCTGTAAGCTAGAAAGAAAGAAAAAAAATAATAATAACAATTTTTAGAAAGCATTATAAAAAGCTAAAAGCAAATTATTTGCCTATGCACCCTTTTAGCTGACAGCAAAAAAAAAAAAAAAAAAAAAAAACCAAGACAGCAGACAACTATTAAGCCATTTCCCCCAAATAATCCATAAAGGCTAAAATAACACCCATACAACCTGGGAATGGCTGTCATCAAAATTCAAGTGACCTGGAGAGGCACATAACTTGATAAATGGGTGATTTCAATAAATATATCTACATAAATACAGTCCAGTATCATATCTAACAAGTACACAATTATTAGCAAAATAGCCATTTAACAGAAAGCACTTACCCTTGCCAAAAGCTGTTCAATCTCAATTGCCATTGTCTCAAACATTCTGTCTTGGCTTGATCCATTTAAAAGGGGTGTTGTGTCGGAACTAAACAGAAGTACAATTAAAGGGAATTCATTACTCAAATTGAGCCCTTTAAAACATAGTTAAAATAGGGTAATAATTCTTAAAGAGGTCAAGTAAATCCCCTGAGACACTCTATTTCTTAAGAAACTATGATTTTTATAGAAGTTTTCCTAAAAAGATCACACATGTCCTAAAATATTAAATTCAGTACAAAACATAATTGAATGTAAGATTTTCCCAAGCTTTGAAATATCCAGTCTTAATAATGTAAAGAAATTGCAAATGCTTGTTTACCATTTCCCAAATGACAGGAAGTAACTCAAGCTATGGCACTGCCCAACTAAACTTTGAATCTGAAAGAACAAATAATGTGATTTTTGTAAAACTGTAGAATTATGAAATACAGAATATAAGAGGAGCCATAAAATATATTATGAATTATGTTACGCTGTCTGTGAGAAATAATCTTTTAAATGTTTCCGCCAAAGCAATTATAGTTCTTTTTTTTTTATTATTATTATTATTATTATTTTTTCCTTTTTGTCTTTTTTACTGACCGGCAACGGGATCGCAACCCTCGGTGTTGTGCCCACACCGCGCTCAGCCAGTGAGTGGGAACCGGTCTCCACATGGGATCCGAACCCTCGGCGGGAGTGCCGCCGTGCGCCCAGGCGGCGCACTCTCCAGTGTGCCACCGGGCCGGCCCAGCAATTATAGTTCTTTAGACCTTAAATTAAGTTCTCACTTCTCTCCTTGCCTATTCCGAAGAAGAAATAAAACTGAGATTTAAATGATCCACAGACCGGACAACTAGTTACTGAATAATCAGGAGCTGGCTTTAATAAAGTTGAATATGTATAGACATATCCAGCATGTTTTAGCACTAACCCTCTACATTTCCATTAATAGTATGTAATCATCTCATTTTGTTTTGGAAAAACGTGTTGAACTGTCTTTTAAAATCTGAATAGTCAGTCAAAAATCTAACATTTTACAAGTGAAACTTAGGTTTGACAGATTCAAATCCTAAAACCACATGTCATGAAAGTTTCTTTTGCCTCTTCTGAAAAACCACTAACCTTCCTCAGGTCCCCAGGTGGTATGTACTATCATATGAACAACTCAATACAGATCTGAGTTATACTGGACACAGATAAGTACCCAGGTAAAGACTATGCTCTCCAATCTTACTGAAGACTTTTTCCTGCCTGTAACAATCTTGGGTATAGCAAATGAAACAGATTAAAAAATCATTTCAACATCGAAAAGCTACACTGTCTATATTTACTTCCATAGCAATAGTAACAAGCAGTGAAATAGACAAAAAGTAGCTAATGAGGTGGATTTTCATTTTAACATGTTTAACTAGTTCTGAAGTTTTATTTCTTCCTGAAACATTTCAATTTATTTGCTGTAAAATATGATATCAAAATATCCAGTTCTTTATTAATGTGTCTGAGCCAACCCAAGGTTCTGTGGTTATCTCCTAGAATGTGCTCAAGTAAAAATGCTCTACATACTAATACAGAACCCCCACCCCTACCAGACATACGAAAAAGAACAATGGGCTAACAGAATGTAAGCTTCACCGGGGGGAAGCTGCCTCTGTCTTATTCACAGATACATGCCTAGCACCTAGTATAGTCCCTGGCACATGACAGAAGATCATAAAATATTTGTTGAATGAATGAATAAATGAGGGGGTCAATCTCTACTACTGATTATTCCATATTCATCATTCTCAGGACAATACGTGAGTCGAGGAACATGCCAAAAACTCATTCTCCACAATAATAGGATTTAGTTAAATTTAATTCATTTTACAGGTATGTGATGATTCATGGACCTTTAAGTTTTCACAACATATAAAGTAAAAAAAAAAAAAAAAAAAAAAAAAAAAAAATCCCTGGAAAAAAA